ACACACCACTTTTTACTTCTCACACACCCCTTGTTAATTTCTGTCCGTTGATCTTCTTCAATTCATTTGATTCGAAGACCGAAAATTAGAAGGGTGTGTGAGAAGTAAAAAGACGTGTGTGGATATCACACCACAAAAAAGAATTTGCTATATACATGAAACAATCTATTCTACATCAAATGTCATTCAAAATTAATATCAAAAGAAAAAAGATATACATTTATCACTTAAATATTATACTTCTCGCAAATGTACTAATTAAGTTTATATAATCTAATTTTTCAACCAATTTTTTTTCAATTGATGGAATAGTTTATCCATTCAATCTTCCTTGTGATATAGTTGATTGAAGATAATATTTGATGACCTTTAATTTCAAAAAGCATCTTTCTTGCATAGGCAACTGTAACTTGTATGGTATAAGCAACTCATGCATTCGAGAAACAATCATCCATTTGTCTTTAGATATTTCAACACTTCTGTTGCCCAATTTATTTCCTTCGGTAAAATTTCTCTCAAAATTCTTAACTCTAGAAATAAGTTTTTCCCATCAATATTAGGATACTCATCATGTGAAGACTGAGAGAGAAAAACGATAGTTTTTGCGAAAACAAAGAGACCTATTGGGGCTGTATCGAGAAAAAAGACTGACATTTTGATTTTTAAAATTTCAATTAGATTTGAAAGAATAAGTGTGCATTTGTTGCACCGGACTGTCTTGGACTGGACTAGCTTCAGGGGCTAAACTGGACTGGCTTAGACTAGACTAAGCTGGACTAGCTTAGTGAAGTGTTTGGTGTAGTGTCGGACTAAGAAGCAGGATAATAAAATTTTTATACAAATACAAAAAAATTGAACCCCAACGTCAACATTTTCTGCAAAATCCAAATCCTAACATCCAAATTCCAGAAAAATCATAACTAGATGATCACCACTCCGGAAAAATCAAATCTTTCACTTGTATGTGCATGACCAAAAAATCAATTTGAAAACCTCAAATTACATTTTACAACCCATAATTGAATCTTTCCAATGAATCAAGAGAACCCAAATACCCCACAAAATAGAAAATTCAACACAGCAGAAACAGAATGTAGTCAGCAGCAAGCAAACCACAATCAAACATTTCCAGATCGAGAAGATATCCATTGCTGCATTATGTTACATGAACTTTGAACATCTGGTCATCTCACGAATATGGAATGGAAGCAAACCCATTTGAGTCTGCAACCTCGACGACAACCACGACCTATGAGCAACGATTTGATATATAGTAACATATAATTCATTCAAACCCATATATAGAATATGACGAATTAAAATTGCTATCCCAATTCTCAAACATATATATATATATATATATATATATATATATATATTGTAATCTCAAGCAACACCATCAACAATCCCAAATCAATATTCACAACTTAGAATCAAGTGAAACAAACTAATAGAATTTCAGGTGATTCTTCCGAGTTTTTCTCATCTTTTTACTTTCATCAAAGAATTGAAGATTCTTTTGCAAATTTGCATGTTTGAATTGAATTTGGGGATTTGAGTACTAGGTAAATTTGAATATGTCAATCTCTCTTTCTTTGTCTAACGGCGAGGGCCCAAGCGAGCTCAGAGGAATCGGACGACGATGAAAGCGGGACCTTCCTCGGAGGTTTGCAGCATAGAAGTCATTGTTGGAGCTCTATGCAATTGCAATTTGGTCTGTCGCCGAGAATATCGCCGTAGTTCTCTCGGATTCGAAACGAGGGAATGGTCTTGGTGTGGTGCTGTGATCTCGTTGGAGAGAGGACGCAACGCAGACGAAGCAAGGTCTTCGTAGAGGGAAGATGCCAAGCGGCACAAAGGAGACGAAGCAGGTCTTAGCAGTCCTGTGGTTTTCGGGGGGCTTCGCTAAGACGACCTAGCGAGGGAGATAGTCCACACAAGTCCGGGCTATTCTCACTTAAGTTAGTCCCTAAGCATACCGAACATGGGATAATAATCCTAGCTAGTCCAATCGCACTTAAGAAGGTGAAACAAACACACCCTAAAACTATAGTAACAACTTACATGTGGATGAGGAAGAAGAAGAAAACAGTAAAATTCTTCTTTTTTTTTTTGAAAAATTATATTATTACCTATGAATTTAGTTTCGATATTTTTATTGAGGGTCCTAGGTGGGCGCCTACTTTGACTATCCTCTTGGCCGGGCCCAAGTTTATTTTTAAGTTTTGCTTTCAAACTTGTTCATATGGTTTTTTTTTATTTTTTCTTATTTTGAACAAATAATAGTATCTACACTAAGATGAGGAAGTGGACATAATCTCACAATATACTAGCAATAATATAGTTTAAATTCGCCTTTGGCGAGAGTCAAACCTAAGACCACTCACTTACAAGTGAAGATGAATATCACTGGACCGTAGTACTAAATATCAACTTATTCATATGTTTTTATTATCAAGGAAATGTTTGTAACCAAAACTCACATCAATGCGACAAAAAAACCCATCATCAAGTAATCAGGCCACGAAACTTGTGTCAATTAATTGAAACGCAAAGTCATATTAAACGCATAACTATGAAGTTCCAAACATCTAATTTCTAACAATTGAGAGATTCTTATCACCAAGACAAAAACCAAGACTTTCCCAAGAAACGCCCAAAACTTTTGACACCTTTAAAGTTTGAATAATATTAAAGAGATCAAATTTTTAACCAAAACTCAAACTCATAGTAAACAGTCGAAACAGTAAACCAATATGAAGTCAACTTCCGATTTCTAATAATTGACAGCTTATTGTCAACAAAACCCAGTAATTGTCTGCAATTACAATCTGGTTACCTGCTCACATTGTACTAAATTCAATAATTCATTGAGAAAAACATCAAAAACTACCTCAGAAGCATGGATGAAAATATCGATATTATCGGCGATATTTCGCCGATAATATCGTTTTTTTGAGATTACGATATTTTTACATATATCCACTTAATTATCGTCCAAATATATTATCGATAATATCGCGATATTTTCGATATTTTCAAGATATTTTCGCGAGGAGGATGCTCCGACGAGGAAGAAGAAGGAGCAGAGCTGGAAGAGGCAGAGGAGGGCTTACTGAACGGTGGAAAGGGAGTGGAGCCGCCGGAATCCGCCGAGCGCGAGGACTCCTCTGGACCGAAGGTGCCGAGCCAGACCCGGGTCTTCTTCCACGGGTCACGGATCTCGGCAGCAAACCAGCCCCACGGTCTTTTCCGAACGGTACCGAACCTCTTTTCCAATACAGGGTCTGGATCCGGTGGGTTCGGCCGGCGGCGCTGCAGGTCTCGTAGCGGCTCCTCTTCCCCTCCTCATGGCCAAGAATCGGGCTTTTTAGAGTCTGATGGTCATAGAAAGAATTGGGTGTTTGAGAGATTTGGATTGGGAAAATTGAAAGATGGGTTTTGCAGAGACAGGAAGAGAAGAGAGAGAGAGAGAGAGAGAGAGGATATGGGGGAAGGTTTTCTTAGAGGGATGGGTGGGAGAAGAACCGGATAAGATGGGTTTTGCAGAGACAGGAAGAGAAGAGAGAGAGAGAGAGGATATGGGGGAAGGTTTTCTTAGAGGGATGGGTGGGAGAAGAACCGGATGGCACTAGCACCACCTACCCTTCTACACAAAAAATATATAAATAATAATGATTTTTTTGGTTTTTGGTTTCTGGGATTATTTTTTTATTTATTTTTTGGGGTTTCTGGCTGAGATAAAATTGGCTTTTTTTTTTTTTTTGAACTTTTTTCCGGGTCAAAGAAAAGAAATAGGGTATTTTGGTTGTTTCTTTTTCTTTGGTTTCTTTGTTCCTTCCTTTCTCGATTAGTGTAGCTTCTGTTGCCCCCACAAACCGACCGGACTCGATTTCTTTGCTTCTCCCTTTATCATTCTCGTCCTCCCATTTTATTTTTTTCAAGTTTCGTAAATTATGAATTTTCGTTTCTTCCCTTTTCGGCTTTTCCACCGCGTTCCAAATCTAAAATGTTTTATGTTATTTAGCAAAACGATTATTTTTTGTTCTTTGTATTTTTAAGTCAAAGTCAAACAGTGTCCTAAGTTTGACATCAAATTATCACGAATTCAATATCAATTTTGTTTTGTTGGTTTTTTTATGTGTTTAAGTTTACATATTACAATTAAATGATAATCATCTTTATTTGTAAGTTAATAAAATCTTAAATTGGATGCCAATTTATCACAAATTCTATACTAAATTATCAATGTTAGCACTTGTGTGGCATGACCAAAATCCACACTCCTACATTAATTACTACATATTTTCTACACTCACAATGTTTGTCAGCTCGCTATATAATGAACTTGATAATGTTAAATTCATCATGCAATGCATTTCCTTCCAATTTTTTGTGATAAACTAATAGATAATTGACTAAATAAACATCCTGCAAAGTTTCAATAAAAATTTCCAAGTTTTTCTTACAATTTCCGTGGTTTCCATGTAATTTTTATCGATATCGATATTATCCCGATATTTCCATCGATATTTCCGTGTTTTCGGACTACCGATATTTCCGATATTACCGATATTTTATTTCTTGCTCAAAAGAGCTCAACAAAAGTACTTTTGACACCTTCAAGCCTTTATTTTGCAAGTTGTCTGGTAATAAGACTCACAGCGTAATCCCTATTTTTTGCCCTAAGCACACTGCCCAGCGTCATTGAGACATTCCATTTAACACTAGAGAGCACATCTCGAAAAGAACTTATTTATAACAAGTTCAATGGCATGTGGTGTCCCCAATCAAATAATGCATGTTAAACAAAAATTTTATACGCATGCTAATATATTATTAAATTGAGATATTATGTCACAGTAAACCCATTCCACGTGGTTCTTCACATTTAAAAGGGATTTCAGAGTTTCAACGGGTCAAAAACAGACGTTTTATTGGGGGAGGTGGGGGGGGAGTGGTTTTCTTCAAATATAAAAACCAAGGCCGTATTATTATTAAACGGTCCAGATAAAACCACCTGCTTCACATTCACAGAAGTAAGGAAATTGAACGGTCTAGATCTGGCCACTTACTCTGACTTTGATGATAACAAAAACCAAACGGCTCCAACCAATACCCGCTCTAAACAGTCACTCCACCTCTCTCCTCAATGACCATCACCTGCATTCAATCTCTCTGTAAATCCCCCACCTTTCTCCCCCCTCCAACTTCTCTGGGTTCCCCATGTTTCTCGCGGATCCCCGACCCGAACCCACTTTCCAGAAACAGAGAATCCAAGTTTTACACAGAGAGGAGAATCGGCAGTAAAAGCAGAAGAGGTTGGGGTGGGATTGTGTGTGGTGTGGCGTTCCCGATTGATCCATGGGCGCCCAGCATTGACTCACAGAGCATAGCTTCACAGCTGTTTGCAGCTTCTCTGTTTCCCTACCTGGGTTTCTTGTACTTCATCACCAAGTCAAAGTCTGCCCCAAAGCTCACTCTTTTTGGGTTCTACTTCTTGCTTGCTTTTGTGGGGGCCACCAGTGAGTTTTTCCCAGCTTTTCCTTTTCTATCACCTTGTTTTTTTTAAATTTCCTGGCTTCCTGGGTTTTTGATAATTAATCCTTTTTTGCGTTGGTTAGTTTAGTAATTGTTAAGGCCTCCAATTGGATTGCAAATTCCTGAAATTTGAGAAACATAAAGACAAAGTATTGCATGTTCATGTGTACTTGGATACTGTTTATTGCTTTATGATAGTCTTTTGGCCAGAAGAGAACTTATATTCAACCGGGACATTAAGGTCACAATTTCTCAAACTAATCATGTGAAGCTATGTGGGCAAGTTAAAACTCGTGGTGATGCATTATAGGCTTGAGATACCGCCATCTTGGTGTCACAAATGCATGTTACTTCTCTCGAACCGAAAAACAACGGTTGTGTTTCTGCTGAGCAAATCACATAGTCATTGAATTGCCCCATCAAACATTCACTGCACTAGTTGGATTGTTTTTTTTTTCTGATGTTGAATTTGGCCTTCTATTGTTAAATGATTACTGTCAGATGCTCTGATTGGACTTTACTGACATCATTTTGTTCTCTCTTTCGTCTTGTCAACTGAGCAGTTCCTGCTGGAATTTATGGTATGTTTTCGTGTTCGAGAGATAGAGAAATCTGTGCACGTTATTTTAGTAAGTTTCATGGATCAATGCCTTAATGTACTCTGGTTGTGGGGCTGAACAGCAAAGGTGAATTACGGCACTTCATTGGCGAATGTCGATTGGTTACATGGCGGGGCTGAGGCATTTCTCACTCTAACCAACATATGCATCGTGTTGGGGTTGGGGGGGGGCTCTCAGAAAAGCTGGAGATGCAGAAGAAAGATCAGCTCCTATTTCCGGGTTGAAGGAGGAGAAGAAAACTTCTGTTTAGGTGCAGCAGACGGTTCTCTCTGTGTTCATTCACTGTATGTAAAGTTGCAACACCTTTAGTGTTTTTTCTTTTTTGTGTAGAGCCTTGAATAGTTGAATTATTGTCCAATCTGCAATCATATATATTTCGTATGTGCCTACAATATCCTTATCTTTCTGATTCTGTTATGTTGTTATCGAACTAAGAGCATAACCGCCGCCTCCGAGTCTTTGAAAGTTTGTTTATGTTTCGAAAGCAATGTGGTAGGATCTTCATTTTATTTGGTTATAAAATGTGTCTATGGAACTGCTGCTATATTTTGAACATCACAAAAAGCTCTTATCTTTTACTAGAAATCTTCCTCTTCTATAATACATGGTTGATTCAAGATATTGGCAATCTTGAAGCAACTTATTCTTATTCTCAAAGACCGACTAGAATTATAAGAAAAATCCTGGGGAGTCAAATGGGAAATAGGGGTCGAGTTCCACTGGCTCCAGTGGAAAATCCATGTCCGGGATCGGAGAATTGGTTGACGAATTGTTGGCTGAGATGATATCAGATTCCGAACGTTGCTCATTTCCTGCAATGTTTCTCATCTGGCTGGGCAGCTCAAAGTAATAGTTTGATCCGCCTGCGGCTGGAGACAGCAATGATTGATTGAAATGGTCAAAAAGACTTTGATCATCAAGCATCGAAGATAGGAAGGCGTCATCGCTGATACTTCCGAATGGAGATGAAGTAAAAGAGAATGGAGATGCTGTGTTCTCTCTGTCGTCTAAGTTCTCAGTATTGACTCTCAGATTAGTTGGGAAGCTCATTTGGTTTCCTTGAGACTGCTGTTGTTGATAAGTATTGTTATGATTGTGTCGTTTTCGTTCTTGCTTTTCTGGTGATGGTGGCGGTGGAACTGAACTGCCGCCATGAGAACATGTATGCTTCCCTTTGTATGTGATTTCGAAGACGGTGGGGTCTTCATCTGATCTTTGCACTTGCTGTAGCCCAACAACTTTGCGTGTTCCGGTACGTGCATCTGTAATAGCTTCTGCGGATTTTAAACAAGTTGGTCATCAGAATTGTTCATAACACTCTGAAACTCTCCATCTTACAGAAGAATACTGCTGTGCTTGCAGCTTCTCAAGCAAAATCTTCAGCTTTTGTGCACGTGCGTATTAAAGGTAATGTATTCTATATTGCTTTTTAACACGTGGGACAAGTGACTGTTACTGCAAATGATTGCAGCAGCATAAGATTAGCTGATTAAAGTAAAACAAAATCCTTAATTTTACCTTGGATGTTTGGCTCCTAGGATGTCTTTCTGCCCATATTTTCTCCAGCTGTGGCCATCTTCATGGGGTCCTTCAATCCCATTCTCAGAGATTACTCTCGTGACGTGTTCTGTCCATTTGGCCATTTCCTTTCTGCAATATGCAAATTCAAATCAGCATTTGGTTCTTTGCTATTAGCCTATTACACTCGTTTGGTGGACAGGATTAGATTGGATTGGATAACTCACCAGATGGATTAGCGACGAGGAAACTTATCCTTCCCAATCCTACCATTTTTTGTGGGAATTACACCGCTAAGTTTCCTTCGCCGCTAATCCATCTTCTACTTTCAACTTGGAAGTTGGCATCCATTTCTTCATTCAACATATATTGATTTTTTGACATAATTGTTAATCCAATCTCACCTTTTCTTGGAGACCGCCGTCAGGTCCTGATGATCCTGGAGACTTCTGTTATTGTCAACGCAACAAGGACCTTCATTGGCTGACATTAGCGACTCCGGCGCGCTAGCAATTGCTCTGATAGGACTTTGTGGCGAACCGCCACATTTCAGCATCAGAAGGGCCTTCTCATATGACGACAGTATCCTCTGCACTAAAAATTGCTTGGTGTCTGCTGACGATTTTGCATTTAGACATAGCCTCAACTGTTTTGCTAGCTCCATTCCTTCAATGATCTCATTGACCAGTGACTTCTGCTCCCAGCTCTTACCAGAATCCATTTCTTCAATTCTATATGTCAGTTGGGATTATGAGCAATGATTTTTTCTTCCTGATACAAGCGATATCGGGGAAGGGAGGATTTGAACACAGGACCTTAGACACTCTTAACCACGTGAACTACAAGTACCGTGGAAGATTATGAGCAGTGTTTAAGCACCTTCATCAACTTCATCCCACTAAAGCTTCGCAATTCCGAGAAAGAGTAGAACCCAAGGAGATTCGTGAGCTCCGAAACGTTGTTTGCAGTAAGAAGGTACAGACATGGAATTGGTATCCAGAATTTGAAGATTATTTGAAGTGAGGAATTGAGTATGCAGGAAAAGGGAAGAAGATTAGAGTAGTGAAGCTGCAGAAGCAAAGAGAGTGAGAGAGTTTTGATTTGAACGGACAAATTTGAGAGGTTGTATATATATAGGTGACTTGTTAATTTGAATATTGAAGTGGAAGAATTGGAGAGTGGAAAGTCTGAAGTTTTGACTGAGAAAGCGAGTTTTTCAGCTCTGACTGGTCTTTGGTCTGCATATAGAAAAAGTAAGGTCTATGCTGACCAATTCAACTTCTTCCGATTCTCTACAGATATAACTTGTAAAATGGTTTTCTCTCTCTCTCTCTCATACACTTTCTCTCTCCCTTTGTCTCTCCCGCACTTTCCTTCTCTCTCCCTTTGTGATTTGTCCTTTGTGGCATTTCATGATTGCCATTTGGAAGAAAAGAAAGTCAAGAGTTGTTGTGTCGTTAGTATGGTGCTTGCCAAGAATGTTCAATGTTCATACCCTTTTGGCCTATTTCGTTACTATTTAGAAAAAATTTCGGCTGCTATTGTCATACTGTTATGTAATATTATTAATTTATATGTTATAATACGAGTGAAAGATAATTTAAGATAAGAGAGACTTGAAACATAATATTTAAATATGTATTTTATATCATAAATAAATTAATAATATCATGTGACCGTGTGATGAAAAAATGTATTAGGTTTTGGTACACTCCAATTTCCCCACTTCTTAAAGACTACTTTTTGTTTCTATGTTTTAGGTTTTCCGTGGTGATTCTAGAACATGAGATGCAGGCGCTGGCTTTAGTGTGGAAAAGGGAAGTGCAAAGCTATATAAGCTATATATATATGTGTGTGTGGTATTTGGTTATTGGTCAACACGCACTTGGACATTCTTATGTGACGAGATTATTGACCATGTTTCTTATGGTTGTTGGTCTAATCTTACTGATTTATCTTTAAAAATGTATTTTAATAATGATAGATGAATCCTAATAAGTTTACTACGTTCTACTAATGTAATATATATTCAAATACTCACAACGCGTCTTTAACCTACGAATATCTATTTTAAAATTAATTAGGCAATACAAGAAGGGCTGAAAATTATCTGAATAGAACGAAAGGCTTTGATTGTAATGTAAGGTTCACACTCTTAACTAAAAAAATAAGGAAAACTAATGAAAATGGCTTGAAAATTTTGAGTTTTAATGATAAGGACAAAATAAAGGGTAAAATGAATAGTACCATGATTGATTTTTTTAGTGTAAAAATGTGGTTTTTCGTTAAAGTGAACAGTACTGGGTGCTTTTCGTTAAAGTTCCCAAAAAAATATCCATACAATTCGTGTTGGTTGTTGGTAAATTTCAGCATCAACAATTACACTATAAACCTGCCACCAAATTAGCATGGACATTGTTGAATGTAATGGATTTCCTCTCCTGAGCGAGGATCATCCTGACCACTAATCATGGGCCGTTGGATTTTTATCCAATACAACGGTCCCTTAAAGTTATAATAATTATAGTCGTTGGATAAAAATCCAACGGTCCATGATTAGTGGTCAGGAGGATCCTCTCAATTAGCTCAGGAGAGGATCCAAATCCCTCAAAGAATAGGAATAACATAGTTAAGTAGGATTTGGTTATTATATGTATGCATGGAATTTCATTTGTTATTGATTTTTTATATGGTATGAGTCATATATGGAAATCTACATTATGTATGAAGTTTAACATGTTTGATGATTAAATAAATTAAACAGAAACAACAAACATAATTAAACATAAGTATGTGAGAAACTAAAAAAAATGTGTGTTTATCACTTCTTAGTGCGTTAGAATAAAAAGGAGTTTGGATGGAACGTTTGATTTTGATTGATTTCGATAAGAGACTTGGCCACAAAAAAATAGAGAACCCAAATTTATAAAGCTTGTACAAGCACAAAAGAATAACCTCTAAATCAAATGAAAAAAAAAAAAAAAAAAAAAACTGACTTTTTTTTTAAACTTTACAAATCAAAATAAAAAAAAGAGTAAAATCCATTTAAACGAAAACTACAAAGAGAATGGCCCAAAGTGAGCAGCTCATAGCAGCAACCAAATTGAAACCCTTAGATAGCCACCTCCACCAAAACAGCCGCACCGCCACTGCAGATCTGTCACCACCCGGAAAAAGGCAAAGAAAATGGATGAACAAGGTACGTGCTGAAAACGCTCCCATAATCCTACCAAATAGTGCAAAAAGCACTTTAAATGCTACGAACCACCCAAGTGTGTCTCCGGAGGAGATCTTAGGAGAAAACACCCAATGAAATGAGCAGTAAGGGTAGATGGTAGGAGATTCATGGTGAGGACAGATGTTTGGAGAGGAACAAGGCAAAGAAAACAAATCTGAGATAAACTTAGGAAATACTGAGACCAAGCTCAGAGCAATCTGAGACACAAAATGCTCAAATAGAAAACAAATGAAATCTAAATGCAGAAATAGATAATTTAAATCTCCAACCATGGTGGCTTGGAGAGGGAAAAACTATGGTGGAGCTAGAGGAAAAAGGAGAGATGGGGAAATCAGGAGGACAGGGAGGGATAGAAGGGGAGAAAGAGAGGAAACAAGGGTGGAGAAAGGAGAAGAGGAAGAAGGGCGAAAAACAGGAAGAGATGGGAGATAGTGATGAAATAGAGGGTGGACGGAAGAGGAAGATAGATGAGGGCGAGGAGGGAGGGCTAGGCTACCGTTGACCTCAAGCCGGAGCAATAGGCTGATGGCATAGGAGGTTTCAAAGGTTTATGCACTTTACTTTGAATGATAAACCACTCCCAAATATTAGGATAGGTTCAAAATTCGAATCTCCGTATTCCGGTTATATATTTATTCAGAAGCACAAATGAGAAAAATAACAAAATGGTCATACTTTTGGAGATAAAAAAAAACATAAACGGGAGGCTATGATTTAGTCTTTTGTTAGATATGCAGGCTCGTTTCTTTTCCGAGAGGATGTTTCGCCATCTGCCATTATCCAGAACCTCTCTATTTTCTTCTGCTTTTCGACCTGGAATCCGACCCGCAATCAAATGCCACCTGCTAATGTTGTTCAAGGTTCAGCTAGCTAGCTATAAACTATTTATGATTACAAACGATGGCATTAGTCTTTGTGTGTGTATATATATATATATTGTACTCTTTGTAGTAGTTATTTTCTTTAATATCATTGACGAGGAGTGCATAATAATTATGTTTTTGGAATGCCAATAACAGTTTCTTATGATAATAGTACAGTTTAGATCGATCGAACCTGTCTCCAACGAGTCTGTACATTCTGTAGATCAGATCCACCTCGTCTTCACTCATCTTTACGTACTCCCATTTCATACTACTCACTTCTTCTGCATGAATTAACCATGACAATCATGAACAATATATTTAAAGAGAGAGCTGAAAATTATATTGTGTCCTTAACACCTTCTGAGCCAGAATTGGCAGTGCTCTTGGCTTCTTGCTTATGTGAACGACGTCTGTCCATTTTCTCTCACAAAAGCTAGCCAGAACAGGAACACCTGAACTCAGAGAGAGAGAGAGAGAGAGAGAGGATTGCATGGCCATTACTCCGATTGACTTCTTATTGTCTTTCTAATTTTCCAATAATAATCCACAACTTTTAAAAGAATACTTATTGGATAATACTTGCATCCCCGTGTGGGGTGCACATATGTCCTGTTTTACGAATAATGTATCTTGACAAAAAATGATTGAAATTGTTCAATTTATTAATCTTCATTTAAACATCAGTCCTACAAAAATCATTTGAATTGGAGATCATTTTGTCATCCAAACGTAACAAATAAATGAATAGTTTATCACAAATATGTTTCCTGGTACCTACACCATCGATTTGTTATGTACATTTGAATTACTAAGTGATCTCCGGTTAAAATGATGTTTTTTAGGGGTGATCCTCAAATGAAGATTAAGAAATTTAACTGTTCTTATCATTGATTTATTCTATTAAGATACGTTATTCCCAAATGAGATAATATGTGCATTCCTTACATGGGGGGATGCAAGTCCTATCCATACTAATTAATTAAAGTCGAATTCTAGTCGTAAGCATACACAAAATTGACCAATCTATTTGTGGAAAATTTTGCCAAGTTGTTTTCTTTCTAAACTCAATTAATTCAATATCGTTGGCAAGTGATGAATTGCCTTGATGATTAGGATGTTTATCTTCAACGCATTGCATTCCGAGTTCAAATCATGTAAATCTTCTTAATACAAATAAGTGTAGAATCGCTTGTAATAATCGTTGTTTGTGTGTAGGTAAGTAATTGAACGCTTGGAATTGATGTCCAAACAACCATAAATATATGCAAGGCATATAACTATACACTTGCTCGTCGGAGAGACATATATATTCAAGTGGCCAACCTCTTAGAGACTGCATTCCAGGTCCCAACTTCCACTAGCCACATGTCTATAGCCCCACCTGGACCAATGAAAGCTACCTATACGTTATCGTCCTGTCAATACAATATAACTAGGACATACATTATACGTGTTTTTATTTTTCTCTCACATTTTCCTCCAATGTTCTAAAAATCGGCCTAGGGACTAGGCAATGACCGGCCGCTAGGATTAATCTATAGTAGGAAGAAAAATCGGGAAAGGGGTGAGGTGAGCGCCAAGGCGGCTTGAGCGGCAGTTGGGCGGCCTAGGTGGGTGACTGGATGGCCTAGGCAGTCTGGGTGTTTCAAATCCTTTTTCTGTTTTCGACTGGATGGCCAAGGCAGCTTAGTCGGGAAGAATGCAAATCACCGTCGTGTTCTTCGTTCTGAATTCCAACGAAGAAGAAAGGAAGAAGAACAAGAGATAAAATTGAGTTTCTCTCTCTTCCTTTTCCACCCATGTGACCATTCTCAAGTCTTTCTGTTTAGTTTTTAACATTTTTTTATTTTATGTCCAATCAAAATGGGACAACTAGCATCCTATTTGACTTAAATGCATTAGGAATGGAACAACTAGCATTGTAATAATTAATGTGTACTAAGAATCGTGCCCCACCTCCCTCCCTTCTATGCATCTCGGTTTCCTTCCTTACTATTTTATTTTTAATGTTTTTTAAATTGCTGATTAAATGTTTCTACGCCTATATATGTGATACCTTCATTTCTCTTTATATGCACTATAAATTCACTATTTCGTTAAATACTATTGATTTGTAACCATATGAATTTTTATTTCATTATGTTAAATTCACTAAAGTACTAAAGACTAGGCCTTGGGCGGTGGTGACCCGAGCCGTTTTCTCCTATCTACATTACTATATTTCCTCATTTTCCTCCTATTTTGCATTTTATGTGGTTTTAAATTGTGAACTTATTGTACATGCATCATCCTACAATACTTCTCACTATGGTTATATGGCATATATGCTTAATGTGTTTTTAAATTTTGGACTTGTTGGATACTCTTTTTGCATATTATCATTCTTTTATTATCTTATCCATGAATTTCATACAAGTATAATTTTTTGAAAGTGTCAATATGCATTTATAAGATATATAAGAAATTTACCTAAATCCGCCTAGGCGCCGGCTTAGACTCAGCCTAGCCGCCTAAGCGCTAAGCGCCAGCCCACCGCCCGGCTAGCACCTAGTGTTTTTTAAAACCTTGTTTTTCTCAAATAAATAATTGTATAAAGTCCAACCATTCTACTAAATTTAGTTAACTATTCAAAGTGTAAGCACTCTTGTGAAAATGCATTTGAAGTAGACTGGTAGGTTTGCGTTATATAATCATGTTGTTAAACAATTTGCTTAATTGTATGCAATGTATTAGATACATATATATGTTTGTTGTGAACTATTTGATCTGAGGGAGAGAGAGGTGCGGCAAGGGGAAGAATGATAGAGAAAAGGGTTTGAGGAATTATGTGTGTTATTTCTCAGTCCTTATGCCTTTATTTATGGTAAAGCAAG